TCTCGGTCAATCTCCTAAGAATCCGTTCGTCTCTTGTTGTTCGTCTCTCTCCATCCCTCTGAACTTCTCCTCATTCATTCCGCCCGTTCCCCTTATTCCTCCCGTCCCTCGGCAAGAACCAGTACCATCGCACACCTACGCCACCACCCCATCACTTCCCCGATCGCCCTTTTCCACGCTTCTAACTGGAAGTGCGTCCTCAACTCTCTCTCTTTCTCTCTGTCTTTCCCCCTTTTCGCTGCTCCATCGCGTCTCTTCATCTATTCGCTTACCCTTCCTCGCTTCTTTTACCCATTCCCATCTTTCCTTCGATATGCACCCTAGCCTATCACCCTCCGTCGCGAGGCCGAAACTCCCTGGAGGAACGTCAAGGAGCCGAGTATCGGCGGAATCCTCCGCAAGGAACCGCACACCTTCGCAATCTCCCATCGGCGATGTCTTCAATCACGCATTTACGATCTACAATCTTTTTATTAAGTCTCGCGACTGGCACACGTTTGTCAATGCGAATAATCGACAAGTCTCTTACTTGATTGCACGTGTTAATTATAAAACAAGTTTCGAGTGAATGACGTTATAGTGCTGTTGACATTATAACATTACGTTATTATATATATGAATATATAATATATATATATATATATATATATATATATACATGTTAGTATTTATATAGTATTCATTTTTTATTAAATAGTGAAAAGATTAAGTTCTTTAAATATAAATTTCATATCGATTAAAAAAATTCTTTTTAATATAACTTTTCATATAATTAATATTATAATTTTATTCTCGTATTGAGACACAATGATCGATTATCAATTTCAATAACCAAGTGTGTATTGTGCATGTTTCTATATTGTCCTTTTCTCTTTGTGAGATTAATTTATTTGTTTTTATGATTTTAAGATTTTTTTTAAATGATGTTAATAATATATTGATCCAATTATTCATTCATAACAATAGTTTTGTTTCTTTTTTTTTACTTTAAACATTAGCATTTATTTATTCATTTTATATGCATTTTATATGCATTTCTATCTATTCTATCTATTTTACTGCTATAAATCATATTGATTTATTAAAACTGATTATAGAAAGAAAAGAAAAGACTTGCAGAATTGAAATAAATTTTTAATTATTTTAAAAATATGTATGTTATGTGTGTGGGCATGTTATAATGATATATGGCCTATTTGTAATATGTGTAAGTGTACAATATATGAATGAAAATCTGAAAAATAAAATATATGTATTTTGTAAAATGTCACACAAAAACTATATTGATAAAATTTTGTGTATATATATATATATATATATATATATATTATATATTAAATATTTTATATTTTATAAGAAGCTAATACATATTAAAATTATACGACAATGTGTTATTGTAACTATCATTAATTATTGTCCAACTTAATCTGTCATACCGTCAAAAAATCTAAAATTAAAAAAGATTCAAGACGTTTAGGATAGAATGCAGACATTCAAATTTGCGAATTTGGCGATCGACGTTTTTCGATTCATCGATCGCACAAGCGACGAAAGATTCATCGAGTGACAGCGATCTGCGCATTATCCTCCCACGATTTCAGCACGAGCGGATGCATGAGTGAAAGAGAATCGATGGCATACGCAGACCCAATTAGGGATTCAGCCGAGAATTATTACGAAAGTATCTTACACCATCGTTAAATTACTTTCTTGAGAGGGACGAGTTTCATAACGAGATCCCAATTACTTTCGCGAATAATTCCGCGCTATTAGAAGCGCAGTCGATGATCGCGTAAAGCGTTTAATCGAGCAATTGCGACATAGCACAAATTTCCGCTGCACCGATGGCTTCCTGATTTTTTCTGAATGCGATCTAAGCAGCGAATAGCTAAGAGAGAAAAAAAAGAGAGACAAAATAACGAGATTGCGCAATACATAACAATAGCGATCGAAAACTTTCATCATCGCTAAATATCAAGTTTAACTGATTTCATTTTTAATTATAGTCATTTCTAAATTTATATTTGTTTTTGAAATTTCAAACATACAGAGATTTAAAGATTTAAATCAATAATGATGATAAATAACTTTTAAATGTAGTAAATGAGGATAAATAACTTTTAAATGTAATTCTTCTTTAAGTATGCAGATTTGGATTTATTTCGTTTTGTAAACATCGTTTAATTCATAAATAAATTACTTGACAGTTCTGTATCTTTTGTAAATAAAGTGGAAATTACTATTGAGCGATTAACCGATGGTAAGTTTGTGAGTGTTCTGTTATTGCATTATCGACGTTGGAATGAAGGTTTTAAATGTTTCTATCGAGATATCGATTTATCGAAATAAATTCAAGATTCATTGAAACACTTTGAAATGATTTTCAGCGGATTCTTTCTAGCTTTTTTCGGATGACGCGATATATAGCGAATTGTGGATATCCTTTTTACTGCTGGCATTAACTAATTGAAATAGGAGAGGGAGAGGAAACAAGTCGAAAAAGATTTACCGAACAAATATAAAAGCGAAAAATGGAGTAAGCAACAAAAAGGTGGGTTGCGCCTGAAAAGAGAAAAGCGAGGCATCCTGAGTATTCTAGGACACTCGTTATCGGTCTCATTGTTATCGACCCGTTGGGATCTCTGGCGTCATTGCTAACGTGATCACGTCGTAGCCATCACCTTTCTATCACACAAGCAGCACCTTCCTACGCCATGACGTAGTTTCGTGTCCTGCTGCGAACTGTCATAACAGTCTTGAAATGTATTCCGGCTTAAAATAGAATTTTTGTTCTTAAAAAAATCACAAGAAAAAAATGTTTTTTGGTTGAAACACTAGAGAAATATTTATTTTATATCTTAATACTGTGTAAAAGTATCTATTAATTTAGTTAATGTCAATACTTATATATTAATTATATGTTTATTTAGACAAGTAAATAAAATTGATCAAAAATAAGCGCAAAACTTTTTAAATGGAAAACGTGATCGTCTTAACTTAATACTTCAATTATTCAAACTTATTCTTCTATTAATGTTCTTGAACATTACAAAGCAATTACCTTTAAATATCATATAAAAATATATTTTTTTCAAGTTTTTAATTTCTATTTAATTCACCTTTGCTTTCAATTTATACTTTGTTTCTTTAAAATGTGTTGCTCATTGTAATATTCTATCATAATTAAATTATAATTACTTGTAATAAAAGTTTACTTATAATTAAAGAAAGTTTGAATTGAAATATGTTTTTTATTTGTCCAATAATTTTTCTTACATATCAACAATAATTTCCTATCTTTTATTATAAATAAATATTTCCATAATTATATGCAAATACATATTTTATTGTACCCATATAATTATAAAGTATAATAATAATTTTCTCAATATTATGTAACTATTTAAATAATGAGCGTAAAAGTGTGATTTATGTTTCATTTCATGCACAAGTTTCATGTTTCTTATCGTTTCTCTCACAATAAGCAGGAAAAATTTACTTTATACTTGACTATGAAGAACGGGTTGCATATAACTAGGCTATAAAGATAAACACGATAGAGCAATAGCTTTCTTGTGCTAATTCAACTAATCGGCGAAACACATTAAAACACTGAAGATAATAGATAAAAATAGTTAACCTTTTTGATCTTCATAGCAATGTTCTTTTCTGCATTCTAGTCACGTGTTGTGATTTTTTATGACGAGATGAAGTCATGATAGCATTGTTACTAACGTTTTATAGTTCCAAGCGATGGCTATTATTTATATTATGATTATTATTTATGTTGTATGTACATATGTAGAATATTTTATATTAATATTAAAATCATTAATAAAATAATAAGATAAAAAATTCATTAAGTTTATATTTTATGTAATTTATTTATGAAAGAAAATATCTTGACAATATATTTCATGTCAGTTTATAAAGTAATAGTAAACAGTACGTTGCAAAATATATTTATGTACGTTTTCAATATTTTTAATAATCATACTATATGTATAATTGTGTACAACATAAGTGTAAATGTATAATATCTATGTATATACAAATATTATACAGAAATATACAGGTGTACAGATTACCTACATATAATTGTATCCCTAGAGATAATTGTATCACTAAATTTGGAAAAACTGAATAAACATCAAGAGAAAATATCAAAATAAGATATGACGTGTTCTTCTTTCTTTGAAAGAAATATAAATTTTCTAGATATTTTATTGAAATCATTAAATATAAATAATATAATTTAATAATATTTTCGTTTCAAATATATTGATTATTGAAAAATATATTGATTATTGAAAAATATATTAAAAAATTTTAAGTCAAATAATACAAATATTTTTAAAATAAATTATCTAATAGAAAATATTATTAGCACAATATTACTTGTGTAATAAAGTTTTTTAGTGATTGATAGCGATAAACATTTTATTAATTCAAAGTTCTATTATGAAAGTTCTATCATTACTATTCTAGAACCATACAAAATATTGCAGCATTGCGGTAACATTGTTGCAAATTACATATAGCTGCAATGCTCTGTGCTCCATGGGAAAATTTGAATCTATTTTGCTTTACCAATTTGATTTAATGGATTAAAGTATGCCTCTCTTTTTCATTTATAATATAATTAAAATATGCATAAAGAGAAGGAAATTAGAAGATCAGAATGTGTAAAGGATGTACAAAAGTTTAAGAGATTCAAAAGAATCTGTGATGTAATAATATAATGTGTCTGCATATCATGAATTGCATTGTGAATTGCGTTGTCTAGAATATTTAATAATATGCAAGATAAGGAGCAAAGGCAATCTGTGAAAAAAATTCCGAAGTGAGTAATATGCTAGTATGCAGCTTGTCACGTTTGTATTTTTTTAAAAATAGATTTCTCGTCTATATAAACGGACAAAAAATTTGCATCAGACTATAACGATTACAAAAGTGCATAGAGAAGCATCCGATAATATTAAAGTAGTAGATTCATAAATACATAGTATAAAAAAATGTTACGTTTGAGTACTTGGATTATTAGTCTATTAATTTTGTTTAGAACAATTTTGACGGAGGTAATGTAAATTTGCAATATATATTAATTGATTTTAAATATTTATAAAAATATCAAAAGAAATTTTAATACATTTGTATGTGTGTGTGGAGGCGCATGTGTTCATTAAATAAATATTTAAAAATTTAATTCAATAAGTACTTTTTGCTCCAATATTTGTTATGTATTACGAATACTATAACAAGTTCATTGTAATTATATTATGAAGCTTGTTATAATAATAAAATATAGATTTATTTTTCTTTATTAATTTTCCTTTTTTTTAAAAAAAATGATCTCTTATAATTAGATATTTACGATATTTTAACATAATTAGATATATTTTGATATAATAAGAATATTCTTATTGCTAAAAGCTAAAATGAAAACTTATATCCAGCATACAATATAAATGTTGTTTATTAGATTGAGATCATTTAAATTAGAGTCAATTTAAATTAGCACAAATATCTACAACTAATTTAAGACCTTTGTAATTTTATTTTATTCAAATGAAAAGATGCTAAAATTGGCAGCTATACGATATTGTTTGTATAATGATTATTGTAATGGATAATATTAATGCGCGCACACATACACACATACGAGTATATATACTGAAATAAAATAATTTATTAATAAATAACATACATATATACATTATTTAGGATTCAATGTGGGATGAGAAGTTAAATCATTATGCTCCACATGATCGTGTTTACACTTCACGTACAGGAAGATTTGGTTTCGACTTACTAGAAAATTTACGTAAAAATTTCTGTCATTCGTTTTGCATGTCTGCAGATAACATGCCATATTTCAAAAATCTCATGTGTGCTGTAAAATGTCCCGAATTGTATTTACCGCATTCGACTACGACTTCAATGTTAACTTCAACTTCAATGTTAACTTCAACTGCTCAAACAATCACGACAACAGGTATGAAAAATATATACTATTATACTGAAAATAAATATCTATTCTTAAAAATATATCCATTATTCATAAATTACTTATCTTTTAAAAATATAAAAAATAACTACATAAATAACTTTACTTCTTCATGATTATATTAATCGTTATTTCCCCATCTATGTTAAATTATTAGTGCAATTCTCTAAGGATTAAATTCGATTCTATTTCACATATCTACTTAATAATTTTAATTAATTTATATATATATAATAATTTTAATTAATTTACATGTTGTTTATATTATGTTATGCAAGCGAATGGACATAAATTATATATATGTTTATCAAATTAAAATTCTTTTTTATAATTGATAATAATAATAAGATTAAACATTTATTAGCATCAATAATCTAATCTTCTTGTCAATTATGAGAAATAAACTATAAAATCAAATTTACAGTTCTTATAAGATTTTTAATATAGTAAAATTTTGAAAAATCAAAATAATATTTATAAAATATTATAAAATATATGTAACTACCAATTAAATTAAGGATAATGTTCATACAATTAATTTTTATAAAAACGGAAATTTAATTAATTGATTATTGTCAATCAGACAATAACTTCAATTATAACAACAACAGTACCAACTATTATGCTACCATCAGTAATAGGGCTCGACATTACTTTGTGTACTGTTACTTATAGCTGCTACATCATCACCAACAATTCCTGTATCGCAGGGGACCTCTGAGCAACAAACCCCTAAGGAACAACCCTCCTCAACAACAACGGTTTTAACACCAACCACTTCAACAACAAACGCTTCAACTCCGTCAACCTCCTCAACAATGCCCTAAGGAACAACCCTTCTCAACAATTCCTCAACCGCAACAATCTTAAATTTATATAAGTACAATAATACTAACAAAAATATCTATTTAATACAATTAATAACAAATATATTAATATTTGTTGTAACGTTATTAACTGTTTCTCGAAACAAAATGTAGAATATTTAGATTATTTTATATGATTTTTATATATTCAACGTGTTGAATTTATTTAAAATTTGATACTTGAAACAACTTTTCTTTATCGTTTTTACAGTCTCGAGATGGTTAATGAACATTGTAATTGTAATTCTTTGATTGTGTGATAAATTATTTATTTGTTAATTTTGAATTAATAAATATTTTCCAGTCAACAATGAATAGTATGAAAATACAATTAATTATATATGAATATGTTCGCGTTTTATACAATAGATGTCGTAGTATATATGCTTCAGAAAGAGATTATATATTTATTATAAAAGATTTCTTCTCGATATAAGATCACTGTTATAGAACGTTGATAAGAACGATACTGACATTGTCGGCATTATTTTTAACATTTCTTACTGTTGATAATATTCAACAAGATTTTTGATAAAAATAATTAATTTTTTATCTTTTAAGATAATATTTAAATTTAGTCTAAATATTTAGATACATTCAATATATAATATTTTTAATTAATAAATATATAACAATTAATTATATAAAAAATGTTTCTACTTAAAATAATTTTAATAAATAATAAATAATTTTAATAAACATCATTTTATGTACATGTGGTTTTTTCTACTTTTTCTAGTTTTAAATTTACATATATATACTATATGGTAATGAAATTTTTGCGAAAATAAGGATATCTTCTAATATATTTCGTGATGTTTTATTATAATATGTTTAGTTCAATATTTAGTTATATTTAAAAATTATTATTTTTTTACATTTAATAGAAAATTATTATAAAATTTGCATAATATAAGACTTTATAATTTATAAATTGTAAGTAATTTTTTTATGGATTCGATTTATACATTTATACATTTAGATAAATTATTCACGAATTAAAAATTATTCAATATCGTCATGATAAGAGATACTAAAATTAAATAAGACATATCGGAAAAGGAAGAGCGAAAGTCATCAATGTAGAAAATAAGACCTTGCTCTCGTTGTGAAAGTAATGTCGGGCCCTATTACGAGAAGCTTACGTCCTCTCACTTTCTGCGTGTACACACAATGAGCTGTTGGTAAATTGCAATAAATGCAGTTTAACGCCATAAAAGGCAAGTCCTATTAACACATAACATTTGCATGAAAAAACGTGTAGCATTTTCACATTCTTATATCACAGATGTAACTCTAAAATTGTTTGTTTTTATGTGTCGAACAATGCATTTTATTAAGCAATATATTTAACTTTTCTCATTTAACTAGATATTAAATTGTGATAAACTTATATTAGATATATAAAGCTACTTATAATATTTACATATTTTTTTTAAAAGTAGAATTTTTTTATGTACATAATTACTAATTACATAATTCTACATTATTATCTGTTATTAATAGAAATTAATAAAAATTTATAAGTTATTAATAAAAATTTAAGATACTTAATTTAAGGATTCAATTTTATTTTTGGAATCTGATGTGTTTCTATTTATCTATCAATAAATAAATTGATAGAAAACTTAGTAACAATATAATTTAAAAATAATCATATTTTTGATAATGATAATTCTTCATGTATAACGATTCTTTATAATTGTTTTCCAAATCTATTTATTTTTATAATAAATTAATATTTAATATTAATATTAATATTAATTATGTATAAAAATGTTGTCCTAAAAAATATACAAATGTAGATACTTGTGTATAAATTTCCTCATGTAAAATATAAGTCATATACTTTAATAATTTTATTAAATAAGAAAAGTGGAACGTTTAATAGAGTTATTATAGGCGCTAAAATATCCTAAAAATTTTGCAATTAATCAATCTTAGCTTACGCTATGAGTCATTGAGAAATGAGCTCTTAACATGTGGAGCAACCAGGATACAATAATACGGGTTGCAGACCAGTCTCGACTTGCGTGAATCACAATAGTCGGCATGCGAAAGAATGGTAATACTGGGGTACGATACAATACAATAGCAAAGTTTAACCGATATGAAGCAGGATATTGTTTGAAGAATAAGAGAGAATATAATTATAATTTAATTTATGTGATTATATAAATTAATCCTAATGACGAATCTACTTGATATATATTTTTGAAAAAAAAATAATGCTTTTATGTAATTTTGCAGACAAACATGATATACGTTAAAACAAATTATTTATAATTTACGATTTAATTTAGTCAGTCAGAGCAGTTATATATTTACATTGAATAAAAACTAGGTCGTAATATGAAAAAGTATATGGATCACAAATATCTCATTCGTCCTATCTGGTTCTCACTAGATATCTAACTAGTTTCGCGTGACTGATCATTCTTTTACTATTGTCTACGTCACGTTTGGGATTTAGACAAATAGTCTATTTAGATTCTTATCGATCAATACGCAGATAAATGTGTCCTGTTTCCTTTCCGTCAGCCGGAAATGTACAAGAGAAAGCAATGAAGAATTTCGTGTGAAAGTGTTCACGGTATGATCTAAACGTATTGGCTGACTATGCAGGATTTTGTGATTGTACAAATTAAATAGTTGGATTAAACGTGTGCATGAAGTATCATCAAAAAAAAAATTTTTTTGATGATCTCATATTAATTTGATAATATCATATTAATGTATCAGATTCGAGCAAAATGTTGAATAATAAAATATAATTTTAATTATAACAAATTCAATATAAAATTAATATTATTAAATTATTAAATTTTTAAATTAAATATCAAAAATTATTTTCATATATCCAAATTTATATATACAAATATTTAAAATATAAAAAAAAATTGTATACGTTTTATAGCTAAAATATTGCGGTAATCAAAGTATATTAAATTTATGATTATATACTTAAGTATATTAACTCTATGATTAAATCTATAAATACGTTATTTAAGAATTAATAGTATTATTATTAATTTGAAAATATTGTTTATGTTATGAAATTACTATATTGCTATTTATAATTTACAAGAATATATATTTTTATGAGATAAATGTAAGATCGAGAGAAGACAGAGGGACAAATAATCGGTTTACTTCCCTTTTCTTTTCTCTTTTTTTTCTCTCCGGTTTGAACCAGATTAGTTCGCATTCTACAATTTCCGCAATAGACCCGAGCGATTCTATTCACCTGAGTGTAGGGAAAACACGATTCCCTCGTAGAAGCAGGATCGCACATAAGTAACATCAAGATGCAAGATTGCGCAGAGCGCATGCGACGACGGACGGAGCGAAAGTCGATCCTTATATACGAGTCAGAATGCGGTTCTCGAAGCTCGATCAGGGTCGGTCAACCGACATATCCGTCGATCAGAGAGACTCAGATTAGATAGCGCGAAATTAATGAGAATGGACGCCACGAAACGAGCCACTTTTTAAAATATATCAAAAAATTACGGCAAAATTATGTGTGACATCTCATCGATTGTAAAATTTATCGTCGGAGAACATCGATATTTCGCTATTCGAGATAGGTAGGATTGCGAAATAGGTAGCGATTGATATGATAAGTGTTCGACTTTCTGACATCTTCTGTGATATAACGATGTGTGATTAATTATCCTGCGTAATTAATCAATTATGCAATAGCCGGCTGTGATCCATCTTTAGTATTATTATTTTAAAAAGAAGATAAATATTTCACATGTTATTCTCTGTATTAGGTAATATAATTATGATTTATATGCGTGAGATTGTACTTTGATTGCAATCATATGATAAATATAATATTAATATTTTCACGCCTTCATGAAACCAATCTTCAAAATCCTATGTTAATAATATTCAGTATTTATAATTACAACACAAGATGTAACGCATTCCTAATACATATAATAAGTTTTATTAATTAGATTTTATCAGTATCTTAATTGATTGATTTTTTAGAGGAAAAAGAGCGAGTATTATAAGGGAATTAATTTATATGTTATTAATTATGTAGTCATTATTTTATATTGATTCTGACATCAAGAAAGATATCTCATTTTCAAATAGTTCACATAGCTTGTGAGAAATATTGGAAAAATGTATTAAGCATTAGGAAATTATTAATATGAAAACAATTGTAAGATGAATGTAAGATTAGATTATACAGAATTAAAAAACAATATGTGCATATTTAATAAAAACAATGTATATATACCATATTTGCTTTTATCTAATGATACATCGCGTTTAGACTCATCGATCGATACCGGCTTCCAATTAATTTCGACGTTTTTATTTCCTTTTTATTTTAATTTTTATTTCCTTTCATCGTACGGAATGCTAAGAAATATTCCACACAGTGGATCTCTCGTTAAGCAATTCATATATAATATTACATAACACAGTATACGCGTGGTCGTCTAATTGTACGTATATTCTCTGGTCACATATTTCGTAAACATATGTGTTACATAAAATTGATTTCACGGACGAATCGTGGGAATAAAAGCTACTCATATAGCTCCCCCAATTATTTATGTACGCATTATGTTCTATTGCGTGATATGTTATGATAATATCTGAACATTATAAATTCATCATAAAAAAGTGCGATAGGAAAAAAAATATCTGCAAAATTTTATATTTAACTATAAATTTTGTTATAGATTAAATTATTTCTCTTCCAAAAAATAACGCTGCTTTCGCTGATTTATCGAGAGTAAATTAAATTATTAAAAATACAATATGTTTATATTATTTTCTTTTGACTTTTTCACATCTTTGGATGTAAAAACAGATTATAATAATATAATATACTGTAGTAGTGTCACTACTTAAATTGTGCGTGTTGTGGATGAAGAATTAGAGACGCTCTAACACCTTTTCCTGCCATTATACCTTCCCTTGCGTTTCACCATGAAACGTTTCACTTTTCCGCGTCTGCATACTTTCGAGACCTTATCTGCGGCTTTTGTCCTTATTA